TTCTGCTACTGTACAGCTGCTACTGCTATTGCTGATCTCTTTACTGCAACTACCTCAAACAAATAAAGATACCTTTTTTGACATTCTGTTGACTAAGGCAGTTTTTTTATTACAGATCTATCATTTCAAACATGCAGGCCGTGTGTCGAATGTCAGCTCTTTCAACATCAGTCAAGCACCAACTGATGACAAACAGACAAACAGTGGAAACAAAGATAGCTGAAGTAACATTGGCTTCTGTGGCTGTCTTAAAGATCCCAAGACAGAAAGGAGAAATATTGATTCATGTCTGTGGTCGTATGCACGAAGAAATATCAGAGTAACTGATAAAATCTACCCTGTTGAGGTGGATAGGGTGTTGTCCCTTAGCCCAGATATTAAGCRTGTGGCCTTAGTTGAGGTACTTGTACCCGATGATCGGCTTAACGAGGAGATCTGCACATTGGTGATTCCAAAGGYGGGGAGTGAGATGGAATCGATTGTTATCAAGCTTATTGATGATTTGGGATTGAATTCATGGGATTGAATTCAATCGATTAACTATGTTCAATGGTATGTCGGGAATGTATGCAGGGTCTTCAGGAATGTAAAGTCAAACTGTCAAAAATGTAAGGTGGATGGTGCACACACTAATGCAAATAGCTGTTTATTATATCAACTTTTTTGATGTACCAAAAAAGCTATGTCGGGAAYGTATGCAGGGTCTTCAGGAATGTAAAGTCAAACCGTCAAAAATGTAAGGTGGATGGTGCACACCCTAATGCAAATAGCTGTTTATTATATCAACTTTATTGATGTACAAAAACAACAGAAGAACAGTAGCAATGAAAATATGTTAACAATAAAATATTTTCCATAAATGATCAAATTGTTTACTTGTTTCGTTTTTCTTTTTTTCTTAATATTGTTTTATTTGGCCTTTTCTCTGAAGTAATCAGCTGGAGAAGGAAAAAGAGAGAATGCAGTTAGCTAGAGGGAGGGAGGAAGGAAGGAAGGAAGAAAGAAAGGATGGAAGAAAGAAAAGAAAAGAATAGGAAGAAAAATGCAATAGAGGATGGAAGGAAGGAAGGAAGAATCAAAGAAAGGATGGAAGAAAGAAAAGAAAGGATGGAAGAAACAAAAGAAAAGAATAGGAAGAAAAATGCAATAGAGTATGGAAGGAAGGAAGTATCAATTAGAAAGAAAGGAAAAGTAAAGCAAGGAAAAGAAGGATGAAGGAAAAAAAAAAAGAAAACAAGAAAATGACACTTACCCAGTTTTTCAACAGCTTCAACACAAATACTTGGGCTCATCTCAGGAGAATACAATCCAACAACAAACAAAGTTGCAGTCTTGACAACCACTATTCCTGAACTTTCCTGGGGATAAAATAAGGTAAAGCTTGTTTTCTGATAGATAAGCCACATGCAAGATTGTCCTTGTGACCTAATTCACCTTCCCACTTTGTGGGGAGCAAGAGTTACATAATGTCAATAAAATATATTTTCCCACCAAAATATGCTGCTGCTCCACAGAAAACTCAACACATACTATGCAATATATTCTATTAAATTTAAGTGAGAATTTGACCAGTACAACAYGCATCTATTTTTTCATTTACAAATAAGCAATTGGATAGATTAATTAATAAAAATACCAGGTGGATGCCACTGGACCTTTTCCGTGTGTGGGGGGTTGGTCCTTGTGGTAAGGGCAAGAACAACACTTCAAATAAACTCAACTCACATATGATCCAACCCAGACCACAGTGGCAGGAGAAAGGAGGTTAAGCCCTAGGCCACCCAGCCACCAAATAAAAAAAGAAAGAAAGAAAGAAGACAGAATGAGAGGAGAAACAAAAAGAAGAGAAACAAAGGATGGAAGAAAGGATGAAAGAAAAACTAAAACAAAAACTTACATGCTTCCCGTACAAAGAAAACTTGTCAGCTCTAACACACTCGTAAAGAACATCTTCAAACTTCAGTCCATCCTTTCTTGCGCCGCTAGGATTGATAAATGCATTGGCAATAGCATGCATATTGTCAAGTGATGGCTTTAAG